CTGGATTTTTGTTTTAGCTTCCATCACTCACAGTTGAAGAGTACCTATGATAAAAATTACAGTCATCTACAAGCTTTGCAAGTGGGAAAACCTGAAAAATCAACAGTGTATCAAACACTTGATCTCCCCACTGTATGTCATGAAACTTTACTTTTTACAAAACATAATTTGTTTAGAACGATCAGAAATGTTAGCTTGTCTAAATAAGCTAGCTGTCACGTTCTCTCGTCCTGGCCACACCTTCTCACTCAACACCCCCCCCCCCTCCTGCAATGTCCACTGTAGGCATTTTTAAAAATTTGCCTTGGGGCGGAGTTATCCTTTCACAGGGAGGGGTAATATCACTTACTTCGCCATCATCTGCAGGTTTGTGAGGAACAAAAGGGACAGAAGTTTTCTTTCAGTAGAAAGTCCTTGGGTAAATCCTGCTGGTAGTAGTTTCCAAAGTAGTCCATCATAAAATTATTTTTCACAAACTACAATTTTCTTTGGCAATATTGCTAGAACATCGCCATCAAAAATAAAAATAAAATCAACCCAGGCATATCTGTTCTCCAAGACTGTTATAAAAACAGCAGAACAAACTTTTGTCCTGTGAATAAGTAGGTGGAGCTTCATCTTGGGTTGCCAGGTGAGGGGCTGGGCTCAGGTTGGGGTGGGTCGGTGTTGTGACGTCACAAACCATTGGTCTTTGAAAACAGTTCATTTCAAGACATAAAAAATACATTTACTTGTAGTAAAAATACCTCTGACTGCACATTTTTTTAAGCTTGGACTGTTTTTAGAAGCAGTACAGACCCAAATTTAAGTATAAAACAAACAGAAAAAATTGAATTTTGCATATTAGGTCCCCTTTAAAAATAAATAGACAAAGAATAAACTATCGATTGTCATTTTTGGTCAAAAAGTGGACAAAATTAGAATTGGCAGGTTCACAAAAAATGAAAATCAGGAGGAAAAATGATTCTACATCTCTTATCACTTCATTAATGCCTTATTTAAAATAAGATATCCCTACTAATTACTACTGTAAGAAAACCTTTAGAAGGCATTCTGACATGTCTGAAGATGTGATACCAAAACACAGGCTTGTCCCTCTCCTCTACGTTACAGCCAATAGTACAGAGAGAGAAACTCAAAACATTACTTGTGTTTATTTTGGTAATTAAAGTGTTTTTCCTACCTGGGTGTGGTCTGGTAAATGGTCCATCTTTGGCTTGTGTTACCCCAAAACAAAGAAACACCAGGATGCTGGCCACAATGCCTCTACATGAGTCAGAAAGACAAATACAAACAAATACCACCAGTGAATGGTTTTCCAAAGATCAATAACATCAGAGGTTCAAACAGAATGACAGAGCATAAAGTTCTCCATCGTTGCGACAGAGAACTTTAAGTCCTGAGATCATATGAGATCATATCCTGACTCAATTTGCACACACTGAGTTTAACTCATTTCGCACAAGTCTGTCATGACTGTAATTTCCTGTAACAGTATATCTTTCTGCACAGTAGCTGCTTCAATTTTTATCTAATTTCTCATTGATGGTCTGGTACGGTAATTATTCTTATTCTGTTTTTGCTATAATTGATATTGTAAAATAGTTGTGTATTGATATGTGTACCTGCTGCTGCTACACCTGAATTTCCCCGTGTGGGACAATAAAGGCTGGTTCTAATCTATTCTTCTATTCTATTCTTGTTATATTTAAAAAACAAGACCAGACAAGCGTGCTGGTCTGAAGTTAGAAATAAATAATGGAGTTGGGCTTAAGAGAGAGACAGAGACATCTACTAAAATTAAAACTTGTGCCTGGAAAAATGTGTGGGTAGACAAGCGTGGGATTGAGTGTGGGTTTTCTGTCTGTCTGTCTGAGTTTTCTGTCTGTCTGTCTGAGTGTGGGTTTTCTGTCAGAGTTTTCTGTCTGTCTGTCTGTCAGAGTTTTCTGTCTGTCTGTCAGAGTTTTCTGTCTGTCTGTCAGAGTTTTCTGTCTGTCTGTCAGAGTTTTCTGTCTGTCTGTCAGAGTTTTCTGTCTGTCTGTCAGAGTTTTCTGTCTGTCTGTCAGAGTTTTCTGTCTGTCTGTCAGAGTTTTCTGTCTGTCTGTCAGAG